CCTTATACCCTTATACCCTGTGTAGCTAAAAAATGGAATGGCATTGAGGATGTTTTTCCTTAAAGGAGACTTTTTCCATCTGGTGTCAACGGCCGTTCTGTATACTAATAGTAAGTAACCTTTTGGCAAGGGTACACAAATGCAAATCACTATTTATCTATTTTGATTCGCAGCAGCCTTTGATTTAATGCCAACACCTGCTGGATGACCCGATGTTTGCCTTTGCCACTCGTATTTCCTCTTGCCAACAGACAAACCTCCGGGTCTCAGCCAAGCAGAAACGATGACAGCTCCCAGTATTTGCCCAGTCCATTCACACATCGACACCATCAAGCATTAAGCATCGAGCATCGACCACTCCCTGCACTGCGTGGAGTGGAGTGGAGTGCAATAAAAAGCTGATACTAGTATTCAATAAAATGTCAAGGCTGACTTTATTTTGTTCTCCCAGCGGCAATTAATGCATATGTAAAGCCCCTCTCAACTGAGTCCCGTCCACGCGGCTGCAATGGAAATTGAGATGAATAATAATGACACCTCCGGGGGTCAGCCAGTCAGAGATGAGAGAACATGGGCATAAGGATGTACTTACACACTTGAACGCCCAGAAGCACGGGACAGACTGCCTGGCGACTGCGGTAGTCCATCTCGGACGTGGACGGGGTTCGAGCGCGCCAATGGAGCAGTGCGCCACGTGGGACATTCACGCCAAGCTCCAGCTGGGGGAAGACCACGGCTCCGCCCATTCCGGGTGCCTGGAGCTGGAAGAGAGGGCCCAAAGTCCAATTAGGGACACATTAATCAGTTAATTAGTACACACATTCAGCATGATGACACGTGTCTGGTGGTGCTGTCCCCGGGCGGACTGCTCTGGCCTGGTCGTGTGCTCGTGGCCATGGCGACGCCCCTCCCAGGCATCCATTTCCCCGCTGCCATGCCCCAATTGGTGGCGAATGGTTCGCAGCTTCTTTTGGGCCAGCATCGAGAACTTCAGTGGCTGATGGCTGGCCCCTCTTCCGCTCTCCTCCTCCAAGTCCATCAATCCCAAGAGCTGGTCACTCTGCTTAAGGGTCAGCACGTCATGGTGCAGAGCTATGTAGGGGTCGGAGCTGAGCAGCTCCACTCTGCCTGGCTGCAGGATGGACCAGGGCGTGCTCCTCTCCAGCTCACAGTGCGTAAAGCGGCCCCCTGTCGTGGCCTCCTGGGTGGCTCCACGACACAGCTCCTCTATGAGCAACTGCTCCGCCGATTTAGATTTCTGCAAAAAGGTATTTCAATAATCTCTTTTGGCACAAAGGTCCCCTCTCCAGATTCCAGCCACCTACCTTTGTGTTTGCCTTTGTCTTTGTCCCCCTGCTCGAGGGCAGCTGTGCGGAGGTCTTGGCCAAAGCTCGCTCAATCTTGGCCTTGGCCTTTTGCACATTTTGGTTCATCGGCCGGAGGAGCAGCAGCTCATCCGCGGTTGCCAGGGCCTCGGAAAGTTCTCCTGCAAAGAGCGAAGAGGGGGAAAGATGGCATTCCTTGAAAATTGGGCAAATTGCATTTAGGCATTTAGGCGGGTAGAACCAACCCGCTCGGTATTCCATGTTGAGAGTCGCCTCCAGTATCTGAACCTTTCCGCGTTCCCGCTCGCTTCTGTGGTCCGTGCCGTTTGTGGCCGGCGGCAGCTTATCCAGAGCCGTCTCCAGCCAGAACTTGGCCACCCCGGCATCCGACTTCATGGCCACTTCCAGGCAATCGCTCCAGGACATGGCTGAGCTAAAAGTATGCAAACAATTTTTGATTGTTTTCCGTTTCCCCTTGCCCACTTCCTTGTTTCTGAATGGCTCCACTCTCACCCCAGCTTCATGCCATTGACCACGCCCAGGGAGAGGCTTGCCGGCTCCAGCTCGTAGACCGACTGCAGATGTAGTAGATTGCTCAGGGCCTCCTCGTAGTCCTCCTCTGTGGGAAGAGTCAGATCCATGTCCCTGTCAGCCCTCACGCTGATGTTGTGGGTGGCATTCGCCAGTTGCTCCAGTCTCGGCCACATCGTTTCGAAGCGTTTCAGAATGATCAGCACATTGAGCGGGTTGCCCATGTACTCCTCTACGCCATCGCCCACCTGGCTGTGGATCTCCTCGATAGCTGCCGTCTCCCGCCTGATCTCCTCCAGCTGCTGGTCCAGCCGCTCTATGTACTCTCGGAGTTCATCAATGAGCAACGTTTCCGTGGCCAGCAGCGCCTCCAGCTGCTCCTCACTGTTGGCGTGGCAGCCCACCGTTGACCAGAGAAGTGACACCTGAAGCAGCCGCAACAGTCCAACAACAGCTCCGGGCATTTGCATAATTATATCTCGCTGCCACTGTGTTCTTTTGTCGACTCTGCTCTCCGGTTTCTCGGGTCAATGACAATCTTTCTGTATTTATGTTTGAAACAATTTATGGAACGTTTGAGCCGAATGGCAAACCATCGACTAGCGAGCTTGAGGGTAGCTGTTGGACTGACCACAAGAACAGCCTCTTCGTTGGGGTCTAGAAGTTCGTTAATATGAAGAAAGTTGTGCCGCAACTTTTATGTTCTCTTTGATGAATAGTTATTAGCAGTTAGATAACCTTTAGGCTCTGACATTTTGTATACTGTCCACCCATAAATGGAAATGGAATCTTAAACTGAAAATACATCGACGATTTGCTCATTCGTTCCTAGTACCAAAAACATTTCTACCAACTTTAAGGTTGGTCTTTAACTTTAACAATGTTTAGGGGCATTTATTCTCAACAAAATGAGCTACTAACCATTTAAATAGTTCGGATACAAATTGATATGAGTTTGAAAAGTGGATTCCACTACATGTTTTCGAGTTCGAGGAACTTTTCAGCATCGCTGGTCAGGCCACAGGGTCTCCTGAATTCCTGGGCAGCCTCATGGAACCACTCGTTACATACTGGAGGAGAAGAACTGCTTAATGCAGAGACAAATTTAACATTAGAATAACTCACTCCACTTGGAGCCCTTGAGTACGGGACAGCCAGCGTGCTTGGTGCGCAAGTCCTTGTGGAGGGATCGATGCAGGTTATACCAGACCAAAAGACTTCCCTTGACGGGCGGCACGGCCAGATGGAGGAAGGGAAATGCAGTGGCACCACCCAAGGCGACATCATTCAGCTGCAGATGGAAGTGCATAGAATATGAAAAGTAAGGTTCATGGGAATCGCAATCACTCACGTAGAAAAGAGCTGTCAGTAGGCGGTTTCCCTTCCAGCCAAAGTTCTTTTCGGGCTCCTATGGAGAGAGAAGGGAAACGGAGTCCAAGTGAGGGGCTAAACGGATTCAATGTCAATACGTACGTCCATGAAGTCAAAGTGTGGCTCGTACTGTCCACCAATCCCATAGTTAACCAGCTGCAGAGGCTCCGCACTGGCCGTGGTCAGTCCAGTGATGTCCTCCAGTCGTTGTCTGATATCCGCTAGCCAGGGATTGTTCTCGTACCACAGCCACGTGTTCTGGCTGGTGCGGATGTCCGATGCGGTGGAGTTTCCGCTTTGGCCGATCTCCGAGCGCTTCACCTGCCCCTTGCCGTGCTCGATGATCAGCTCGGATTCCTTGTCGCTGAGCACATCGTGGAAGTAGGCCACATAGGGGTCCACGTTCAGCTGCTCCACCTTGAAGGGCGAGAGGCGCTGATAGGGCACATCCTGGTGGCTCAACCAGCACCTTAGATCCCGCTGCTCTCTGGGCGACTGCCGCGTTTCTCCTCGGCACACGCTCTGGTAGAGCTCTTGGCTCACCTTGAGCTCACCTTGAGCAAGCTCTTGTGGAGGATCTACTGTCACCCTGGGACTGTTGCTCCTCTCTCGTGCCAGCAGCGCCTCGTACACAATCTTGTTCTTCAGGGCCTCTTCATGGCCATGTTCCGCAGCGAGGATCTCGTTGTTCAGCTTGTGGGCCAGCTTCTTGTTGCCCAATTGGTTAAAGGCAGGGGAGAGTTGCTCCAGTATCTGCACTTTTGTGATCTTGGGATACACAAAAGGTGAGGGATCCCGATTCAGTCTGCTGCTCGCTTCCAGCAGCCACTCAGAGCCATAGGAGTACTTGCCCATCTGGCAAAGATGCCGTCCAATCTCGTAGCAGTCACTGGCGCTGAGAGATGCATTCATTTGGTGCTGCTCCGCCGGAGACAGGACTCCAGCCGCCAGCTGCTTTGTGGGCAGTTTGTACATTTCCTGCAGGCGCCACAAGCCGCGAACAGCTCCGAGCAAATCCTCCTTTGTCGGTTCCTGGATATTCGCCCTCTCCAAACCTGCGCTCACCGACTGTTTGTAGCTCTCCAAGTTACTAGTATCGAAGACCGGCTCGAAGACACTGTGCTTCCAGTCGTGGACGAGGCGTCTGATGGTGGTGAAGGCATTGAGTGGATTGCCAAAGAAGGCCTCGATGTCCCCGCGTTGGCTCTGCAACTGCTCGACATGTAGCAGAAACCTGAAAGTCCATTCCTTTGTTAGCATTCATTTCACACTGCTCTTTCCAACCTTTCGATGTTCTCCTGATTCTGCTGGGCTTTTTCCAAGTAATCTTCGAGCCGTTCCACCAGAAAGGCTTCCACATCCAGTAGCCGCTCCACTTCGCTGATGGCCGAATAGTAATCCCCGCAAACCAGGCCCAAGCCCACACCCACGAAGAGCAGCCACAGAACCGCTCTGACTCTGGACATTCTCACTGCTCTGTCGGTAGATCGTTACTGCCATCCATGGATGGCAATGGAAAGATTGAATAGCAGGCAGACTGTCTGCCATGCCGCAGACAACAGCTCTGCAAACATTGACTCAGCTGGGTTGCTCCTTCTTTTTTTCAGGTTTCTGGACTGGGGGCAAACAGCACTTTGTGGCATTCCCAAAAAAACAAAGCGTACCAAAGTAGGGAAGTCTACTCGTAGACTCGTATCAGAGATGGAGGTGAGATGGATGTCAGAGCGTGAACAATTAATTTCCCGCTTGTTAGTGCTCCAACTCCACAAAAATATGCATTTAGTTTACACAAAGTTGGGAAAATGAGAATACTTAAGTGCCTCTTGGGCCTGATCTTCCTCTGGTTTCCTAGTGTAACCTTGGAGAAGCTTAACCATAACTATGCCATGTCTATATTCGATTTGGGGGAGCTGCTGACCCACAGTCAAGTGCTGGTCAATCAGCTAGAGGTGTACGCGGATAAGTTGCAGCAGAGGGTGGATCTTGTCGACAGGTGAGTGCCACTTCACGAGCTTACACTCCATTGACATCCCATCACCACACGCCACAGCTACATAGAGATTATGAAAGAGAAGATGGCACAAGCCGAAAAGAGGGATAGCGAGCCGCTATCCAGTTTTCCCTTCATGCGACACATGCAAACGGATTGGGCCAACATTTTGTGGCATCTAGAGCAGCAGCCAGGAGAAGGTCAGTTCAACTCGAATCATTGAAGAACCATTTATTGGGAACCCTTTCCCCCAGCTCAAGCTACAGCATTTAGTCTCTTACACTCCGAATTGCCGACTGCCAAGGATGTGAGGGAAGCCGTTAATGGGTTGTTCCGCATTCAGTTAATTTACAACGTTAATGGCTCTGATATGGCCAGGGGACTCCTCATGGGAGTACAGCACAAGTGAGTGTTGCACTTTTTAGTTTGTATTGAAGCGAATGTCGGGTGTCGGGTTTCTGGTGTCGGGTGGTGTAATTGTAATAGAACTCATTCATGTTCAGTTACTCCCTCACCGCCTTTGAGGTCCATACCATGGCCAAGTATCTGGTGGAAGCAGAGGAATATATCGTGGCAAAAGATTGTATCTCGGTGGCCTTGGACTTATACCTGGCGGATGAGGCCAACTGGGACTTGTATGAGCAGCAGGGACTGTCATCGGACAGCCTTTACGAGCTGCACGTCGAGGTGTTGGATAACTTGAGTGCGGACAAGGAAATGCCTCTTGCCCTGATGATGGCAGCCATGAAGAGGTATCCAGAGAGTCAGAACTTGAAACGAGCTCTCACTCGGCTGGAAATGAGCGTTCGCATTGGAGAAGAGCCACAGGGTCAGGTGAGTGGAGGAAGAGCCGCTTCTTAGAGCCTCACTTATCCGAAGGAATCCATCGATTAGGAGATGGAAGACGTGTTTAGCTACTTTCGCTGCTGCAGCAGCGAGTGCCGTCGGGGGTCCCGACTCTACTGCCTCTACAACTCCAAGGCCACGGCCTTCCTCCGGCTGGCGCCGCTGAAAATGGAGCTGCTTTCCCTCGATCCCTATGTGGTGCTGTACCACGATGTGCTCTCGGACATTGAAGTGCTAGCACTAAAGTCGCTGGCAAAGGGGCACCTGGTTCGGTCGGTAAGCCACAATGTGACGGAAACTGAAAACTCGGAGGATCCCCACCGCACCACAAAACTCGTTTGGCTCGACCGCGACAGCGATCTAAGCCACAGCGTAGTGAGCAGGATGGAAATATTGACAGAGGACATGACCAGCCTCGATCTCAATAGTTCGGAGCCATTACAGGTTATCAACTACGGCATTGGCGGCCACTATGCCCAGCACGCGGACTATTTTACCGAGGACGTGAGATCTTTGTTCTTGATTGATGCAACCAACAACCGAAAACCCCCACTGATTGTCACTTTTTTTAGGGCTCCGATCCACATCTCCCCGATCGCATTGCCACAGTCATGTTTTACGTGAGTATATGTTGTCCTTACTTGGAAGGAATCTGAGTCTTCTCTTGATTCAATCAGTTGAGTGATGTGCCCCTGGGTGGCGCTACAGTGTTTCCATTGATCAACCTGTCGGTGCTGCCCAAGAAGGGATCAGCTTTGTTTTGGTACAACCTGGATCATAGAGGGCACGGCATGTCCTCCACCTCCCACTCGGCGTGCCCAGTTATCGTCGGCTCCAAATGGAGTAAGATCTGCTGCAACACCGAAACCAAATTGATTTACCGATGCATTCACTTCTCCCCACCAACCAAACAGTTATGGCCAAGTGGAAAAATAGGCTTCCCCAACTATTTCGACGGCCCTGCCTGAGAGAGCAGTGAATAAAGGAGAGAACCATGCCCCTGGTTCATGACCAATCGATTGCCCTGCCTTAACTCTCCTTCTCTAGTCAGTAGCACTCCAGAGACAATGTTGACCAGAAGTCTCCTCCGTCTTTGGTTTTTTGTAGTGGTTTTCCGGGATGGTGGATCACAGAACCTAGAAGAGAGCGAAGTGGTTGAACAGCTTTATTCCACTTCAGTTGTTGCCATGGAGGATCTCCTGGAGTTCAATGCGGATTTGCTCTTCCAGCTGGACAGTTACATTGACATTCTCGAAGCTAGAATCAATCTTATCCGAAGGTGGGTTAAGGGTTCCGCCTACGCATGATAAAGGTTTCAGGTTTTCAGTCTCCCTTCCTCCCCTTAGGATAGCGAACTACATGATGAAGCATTATAGTAGGGACAGCATGCAAGGAAATCTCCTCAGCCACTTTCGTCTCCTTCGACACATGCAGACGGATTGGGCACACGTGCTGGAATTGATGGAGCAGCCCCTGGGCAAGAGCCAGTTGCTGTTCCTGAAGGAGTCACGGCCCCACTACCCCAGTGCCTCTGACTTGGAGGAGGGCTCCTTCGGCATTCAGAGGATACAGCAGATCTATCGGCTGCAGCTTAAGGATATGGTCTCCGGCGTGCTTGATGGCGTTCAACATGGGTAGGCGCATTCATGCCAGAAAGATCTCTTTCCTCATTCATTTGGGGTCCTTTGCAGGACCAGCTTTTCCACCCTGGAGAGTTTCACTGTGGCTAGGGCACTGTACAGGAGGTACAGATACCACGAGGCGCTACCATGGCTGGAGCAGACTCTCAGCCTATACGAACAGACATCAGAGGAGGCAGGAGAGAGCTACCAGCTGCTTGGCTTCGATGTCTCCCAAACGCACAAGCTGTACATCGAAGGACTGATGAAACTAAGTGAGTTTTGCAGTCAGTTGCCAAAGATTTCCCGCCAAGAACAAATCGTCCAATCAGATCGCTATGAGGACGCTTTGGAGGCCATTGATCGGGATCCCAAACCCTATCTAAGGCGACTCCGTGATAGGGTGGAGATGCTGATGACGAGCTCCAACGACCTGCCGCTAGAGAAACCCAATCCGCAGCTGACTACCTTGCAGCTCTGCTGTCGTGGAGGCTGTCCGTATCGGGGCATGCACCGCCTGACTTGCAGCTACAACACCACAGTCACGCCCTTCCTGCGGCTGGCTCCCTTCAAGACGGAGATTCTCTCGCACTCGCCCTACATGGTGCTCTACCATGACGTCATCACACCGCTGGAATCGGAGACGCTCCGAAATCTGTCCAGGCCCCACATGAAGCGTCGGGCCATGACCTACAACAAGCAGACTCTGAGGCCAACAATCGACCCTAAACGCACCTCGAACTCTGTCTGGTTCAAGTCCAATAGCAATGCAGTGATCGAGCGGCTGGAGCGGAGGGCTGGGCACATGACAAACTTCGAGATGGAGTACTCGGAGGTATACCAGATGCTCAACTATGGGATCGGTGGCCACTACTATCCCCACGTTGACCACTTCGAGAGCCCAGAGGTGAAGTAAATGCCTGAAGTTGGGCTAATTTCTGATCAAGAACTTCTTCTTTAGGCTCTCAAGCAGCGCAAAATAGGAGACCGAATAGCCACCATTCTGTTTTATGTACGTCGAGTGTTGAGTGTGATCTGATTTGGATTGAAATTCTCTGAAATGTTCGTGTTCTGCAGCTCAGTGATGTCCCTCAAGGAGGTGCCACGCTTTTTCCTTTTCTAAATATCTCCGTCCAACCCCGACAAGGTGACGCTCTTCTCTGGTACAACCTCGACGATCGAGGACGGGGCGAAATGGACACTGTCCATACATCATGTCCCATAATTAGAGGTTCCAAGTGGGGTACGTAACTATTAATACTTGAGATAGGTATCCTTTAGAAACTCTTTTCTCCGTTTCAGCCCTGGTCAAGTGGATAGACGAGCTGTCGCAGCCCTTCCGCAGACCGTGTAATCGATAGCACTTCCTTTCATACCCATATCTAATGCATAATTCTGTTCGCTCCACTTTGGCAATACATTATTCATCGCAGAATTGCACCTTGCCATCAATCATGTGGTTTTCCTTGCGACTTGGTCTCGTTTTAATGGCTCTCTCCATCAATTTTTGGGCGGAGGCAAACGCTGAGCGGGGCTCATATTCCACTGCGGGCATTGCAGAGCTGATAACTGTGGAGAAGAAGCTGATGGCTCAAATGGCGGACTATGGCAGTGTGCTCCGGAAAAAGATCAGTTTGATGCGTCGGTAGGTATCAGATTGGAGTAGAAAAAGAACACGCTGAGCATAGGCAATCCATTCCCAGTTACATTGCTTTGATGAGAGTGAAAGAAATGGAAGCGGAATCAGACAGGGAGCAGTATCTGGGCAATCCCCTTCACAGCTATTAGCTGATCCACCACATGCACTTCGACTGGACAAATTGGCGCAGGCTCATCGAGCAGCCCTTGGGCACAGGTAGGCTCACAAATCATTCACATATTCTCCTCTTCACAAGATCTGTGCCCTTCGCTTAGAGCAAATCTCCAAGATGCGTGCATTGATGCCACAAATTCCAAAAACTGAATACTGGAATGCCATGCAAGACCTCATCCATGCACCTCTGGCAGGAGTTCAGCTCGAGTAAGTTCAAGAATTCGATTCAAAGATGAGCGATGAGAGAGCCTTAACCGATCCATATACAGTCCGCTGGATTCCTTGGAGCTAGCTCTGTTCGCAGTCGACAAGGATCGCCCCGATCTCGCCGAGAAGTGGCTCAGTGCCACACTAAGCGGCTACCAGCAGCTAAATCCCATCGAAAAGGAGCTCTACGAAGTGCTGAATGTGGTCAGGGAGAGTCAAGTGACGAAGCTCTTCGAATTGGTAAAAACACTCAACCCCAATCAATCAATCTAATACTAGAAAACCCACGAGATCAATTTTAAAACATAACAACCATAAATTATATAAAAATATAAAAGTAAAAATCAAATAAAATGGCCAATGTTAGGACAGAGAGGAATGTTGGGACATCTTATGCTCTGATGCCATCAGGTAGCTAGCACATCTCTCTCTATAAATCTCGCTCTTAGAAGAATGTATATATTCTAATCACAACACATCTCTATCTCTCTGCCTTGCCATTAGTTATTATCTAAGCAAAAATAAAAACCAGTTGCCGGCTCAATGAACCCCGGGCTGGCTTTCTTTGGGTGCGTGCAAAAACAGGTTTCGAATCAGAGTCCGAGGCAGAGCCTCTGACATCTTACGAATTATCTAATATTCAGTCGCTCTTTAGTGCGCAGAGGTCAAGTCGTTTCAGTCGGCGTTGAATCGCTCCGGGATGATGTTACCTTTGCTCTTGGTGGGTGCCCTCTGGCAGGTCCTTTTCCCTGCCTGTGGGGCCGAGTTCTACTCCTCCGTGCACGAGATGACCAAGGTGTTTGGCTACGAGCAGAAAATGCTGCAGCACATGCAAAAGTTTGTAGCCGATAATCAGAGCAAATTGGATTTCCTGAGGGCGTAAGTGGTAGCGCGGGGCGTGGCAAATCGAGCATGACTCGGCAGGGACTAATCGAATCTCGGAAAACTCAATCTGCACCGACAGGCGGCTGGGGGAGTTCGAGCAGGAGCGCAACGAGGCCCTGCACTGGGGCACGACATACTTCGAGAGTCCTCTGAACCAATATTTGCTCAGCAAGCGACTGACGGTGGACTGGCGGCGGGTGGAGAACCTCATGGACGCCGACACGGGCCAGAGTGGGTGACGCGACCAATCAATTGAGCGGTTCAAACTCCATTAAAGACCTATTTTCCTGTCCAGAGCCACTGGAGCGGCTGCTGAAGCTGCGACGTAGTCCGTCCATGCCCAATGCCAGCGAACTGGAGGGCGCCATCGATGGCCTGCTCCGACTGCAGTTCGTCTACCGACTGGAGGCCAAGCACCTGGCCAAAGGTATCCTGGATGGAGTAAACCATGGGTGAGAAACCGATATTCATCCAATTGGCCTTTGCTGAATGGTCTCTTTGCTCTTTAGTACACATCTTAGCCCCGAGCACTGCCTGGACATTGCCCGCTTGGCATTGAGGGATCAGCACCCGCGACTGGCGCACGCCTGGCTACTGGAGGCGAAAGAGCGCCTGCCTCAGCAACCCGAACTCCACCCCCAGATTCTGGCCCTGCTCGTACAGGCCAAGGCGGAACTGGGCGACTTCCTGGGAGTAAATGGCACATACCAGGAGCTTTTGAACCTACAACCAGCCAGCGAGGAACATGCCAGAAACTACGAGCAATTCATGCGGAACCATGCAGGAACAGATGGCTTGTATGAGTCCAAAATCATAGAAGAACATGCCGTAAGTCGGAGAGCTCGAAGGTTTTCAAGATTCGACTCGTAGTGATCCAGCGTCTTCCAGCCCATACCCGAGGATCCCTCGCAGCTGGACGAGTTCCAGGCGTACAGTTTGACGTGCAGCGGCCACCGCAGGCTCACAGCCGGAGAGGAGAGGCATTTGCGTTGCGGCTACATGACCGAGACGCATCCCTTCCTCTTGTTGGCGCCCCTCAAAGCGGAAGAATTGAGCCATGACCCCCTGCTGGTGCTCTACCACGACGTGATTTACCAGAGCGAGATCGACACTATCAGGAAGTTGACGACCAACAAGATCCGCCGGGCAACGGTCTTAGGCACCAAGCAGTCGGTGGTGTCCAATGTCCGCACCAGCCAGATCACCTTCATCCCAAAAACAGAGCATCAGGTGCTGCAGACCATCGACCGTCGCGTGGAAGACATGACCAACCTGAACATGGACTATGCGGAGGATCACCAGTTCGCCAACTATGGCATCGGCGGACACTACGCCCAGCACATGGACTGGTTTACCCAGAATGCCGTACGTTTCAGCACAAAATAGTTCTTAACATTTTAGAGATTCATCTCTTGACACTCTCCTGTTCTCCGCAGTTTGATTATAAGTTGGTCTCTGCCCCCGAGATGGGCAACCGCATTGCAACAGTCCTCTTCTACGTAAGTAAAGAAAGTAACTCTTCGATTAGCCCTTTCTCAAGTGAAACTTCTCCTCGAACAGCTCTCGGATGTGGCCCAGGGCGGCGGCACTGCGTTCCCCCATCTGAAGCAGCACCTGCGTCCCAAGAAATATGCAGGTACCCAAAGGATCCTCTGCCCAATTGAAACACATGTAATAACTAGAGTAATTGTTTCCGCCACAGCCGCCTTTTGGTACAACCTGCATGCAGCAGGCGGAGGGGATACCCGCACACAGCATGGTGCCTGTCCCATCATTGCTGGATCTAAATGGGGTAAGTGAATGCATCTCTAGAAGGATTCCTGATCTCTACATGTTCCTTTCAGTGCAAAATCGCTGGATTCGGGAGTTCGTGCAGTCCGATCGACGTTCCTGCCTGCTGTGGGATGACTCTGTGGCCACCTTTGGCCAAATCATGGAGCTGGCCAAACAGCAGAAGGCAGCTGCAAAGAAAGAATCTAGTTAAACGCCACTCCTCTGAGTCCATGTCTAGCTTTAAGCAATGAGATTGTAGTTATTTGTATGTGTATAGAGAAATTTAGATATAAATATGGTTAAATAAACTTTCCCCTTAATCATCACATGAATCAAACAGCAGTGATTGCCTGAGGTCCCTCCAGAAACTGGGGAACCCCTTTCCAAGTTCTTTATTTCATTACGCATTCTTCTCATTCCCCGCTTACAATTGTCAACTGTTTTTGTTTTAAGTTTAGTTCTAACCAACATTAATGATTTTGCTAGTAGCTAGTAGGACTAGCTGTCCGTATTCCTCGGGTCTGCTCCATCCGCAATATGTGTGTATTTGAATAAATTCAATAAGTATGTCCTAAAACAAACATCCATATGTGTGTGTATTGTGGATATATATATGTTTGTGTTTCTGTTTCTGTTTATGTTTTTGTAATGCCTTTGACTTCAGCAACAACATTTAGTAATTATGAATGTGTGTTTTCTTATCTGCTCTTTGGCATAATAGTAATAGTAATAGTACAATAATATGACATTAATTCTTTTGTCCTTTTCTGGGGTTTGTATATTTGCGTATAAGTTGAAAAGTTCACCGCTCTATCCGTCAAAACATTTATATAAATTTCTCTTTCTCTTTTTCTTTATTTATTTTATTTTGGTTCTAGTTTTCATATCTCCCGATATATCGTGTTTTTCTTCTAGTAAATAAAATAGTTTGTCAGTTGTGGAGTTTAGCTGCAATTCGAGTTGCAGTAGAAAGGACACCGAGTGAAAGTTCTTTTGACTATGCAAATGTTTCAAGATTCTTGTGTATAAAGATTAAATTCGCTTCATAATATGTACCTTCCAATGGCGCCTTAATTGCGCTTTATATGCATGTATGCGTGTGTGTGTGTGTGTGTGTGTAATGGACCGGACTCGTTTCCGGTTCCGCTTTCGCTTGCGCTTTGTGGTGGGTTCACTAGTATTAGTTGTAGTTTTAGTTTCAGCTTAACTTTAGTCATAGTTTAGTATGTCTTTCAAAGGGATTGTCTTTGGGGGGCACGGGCACATGGTACACATTCAACATCGATATACAAATACACGGTTTCACATAAATATATATAGGTATACATACATATATTGTATTGTACATAGTAAATATATTCATCGTTAAAATTTGACTAAGTTTAACTTAAAATTGTTGCCGCACACGCTTCTGTTTGACATCTGACTTCTCGTTACTCGTTACTCGTTACTCGTTTCTCGTTTCTCGTTTATTGAAATTACAGTTTCTTCGCATAAATATATATTACCATTTTTCTATATCTTTTGTACACCTATAAAGAGTATCGTAAAGAGTATGTATATTAGAGAGTATCTGTGCTCTGTAGTACGAGTAGTTTGCAACGCATTAACTTCACATCGATAATAAATTGTCTTCTTGTTGAATATTTTGATATAATTGCAATAACGTTTATGGAATAATTTGCTTTGCTTTTCGCTCTCTCTGCTCATCGATCATCTTGTTGATCGATTTCTTTCTTTCATTTGATATATGCTTGTATATATGTATGTATATTTAAATTGAAACTCCCCATCGGCCACAAATCGGCCTCTAAAACACTCCTTCCTACAGCTCTTAGATCTCGTAATTGCGGAACTTGTTGGCCACATCCGTGTTCTCGGCACCCCACTCGGTCTTGCGTCCGCCGTAGTAGAGTGCGGCCCCGCCCTCGGAGGCCCGACGATGGGCCGGATTGGGGGAGGCTGCGGTCAACCCGCCGCTGCTGCACCCAGCCCCGGCTCCAGCGCCAGCGCCAGCTCCCTGTCCGGTTCCAGGTCCATCTGCGGTCTCCGGCAACATACGATCCTTGGTCTTGGGGGTGACCCAATGCATCGACTTTGATTGCAATTATCGGGGTTATTCGGGAGTGGATGAAAATTGGTATTAATTGCAAATTTTGTGGTTTTCTGGGAGGGCCAATCTCAATGCAGATGCAGATGCAAATGCACTGACACTGGCCATCCTTGGAGCATGCATACACACGGACGACACACAGAGTTGGATGAAGAGGCACATTCAAGATAGGTAGACATTCGGTGGGGCACTCAGGAGGAGCCCGCAGGAGCGGGCTCAGAGAGAAATATCTACGAGTGTGTGTGGGTGGCGTGGGAGTGTCTAATTTTGTGTACACTACAACTGGAGTTAAATTGGAATTGCAAATGAGGATTTTTCACTCCATAATTCCGGACAATGTCCAAGGCTGATGCGGATGCGCCACAATTTCCGCTCTGTCCTGCGGCGGATATTACCATTGGCGTGGACTTGGGCTTGGGCGTGAGCGTGGGCTTTGAATAATCACGTTAATTGTGGCGCAACAAAAAGCGACTTCAGCTTGGATTACAAATTTCATTAGCTGCCTGGGAGACAACAACAAACAAGTGATGGAACAACCGAAACAGGGTCAGGTGTTGGCGCAGTGCAGCGGGATACTAAAGGACAAAGGGGAGTCGGATAATAAGTAAGCGGACACTTGGTTTGAGCCTTTGTGCCACTGAGAGGCAGGCATGGGATGGAAATGGTGCGCTACGGAGGGAGAAGTAGAGTAGAGTGGTAGAGGTTACTACTTCTCTGACTGGTTTCTGTATTGTCTGCTGGTCCTGGCCCATACGCATACCTCTTTATCCACTTTCTCGGCAATCGTGTATCTTCTCACCTGACCGACATGCTCCTTCATGCCCAGCCACTGCTTGTAGCTCATCGAGATGCCGCTATTGCGCCACTTGTCGTATACAGCCCGCTTCTCCGGATCGCAAAGAGTCTCCTTGGCCTCCTGCGAAAAAGTCAGGAAAATCAAATGCATTTACACTTTCATTATTCAATTCAAGTTTAAGTAAAGTTCTGGCAGCCATGCTTGGATTTATATCGATTTGGTGTGGTCCCTTTGATCTCTGATTCTGTTTCTTGGCAATCACAAAATAATTGGGCCCAAAATATTGCATTTTTCCCTGAACTCATTTCCATTTTACACAACAAAATGTGTGAAGGGGTGAACCATTTACTTGCCCTTCGATAGGCCTTCTTTACGAGTTTGTGTGGTGTTTGCATTGCCCGCCACACGGGAGTGTGGCCTCATGAAAGTCAGATTTGCTCAAGTGCAAAATCAACAGCTGCAGAGGTTTCGGATGCCTTCGTCTGGGACCATGCCTTTTCTTTGCATGTTAATCTATTCCAGAAGCCAGGATACAGCTTTGAGGACGGGTCTATAGCACACTTATTGGCATGTCAGTGATTCACACATAGATGGAGAGAGCGGTCAGGGGAGGAGGGGCTCGTCCTTCCCCTCACATATTTGCACGCTCAAGTGGCTTTGATAGCACTGCTTGGGCTGGATTTATATCTCGACTGCTTTTACGGCCAGACCCAACACCAAAAGAGGCACACAAAGCGATGTTGGAGACACAGATTCACACACACACACGGCCGTGTGCCGTGTCTACATGATAATCAATTATTTTACTACTCACTGATTATGTGGGTCAGCAAACAGGACTCTGGACTCGGGACTCTCACTGACTGACTGACTGACTGACTGACTGACTGACAGGATGCCTGCCAGCTTGTTTGTCTTCAATTAGTTATACTCCGAAAATATTTTAAGCTCTTGATGAGTGGCAATTAGTCGGTAGATTGCGGCTCATCTGCACACGACTGGAATCAAAATGGAAACTGATTCGAGCGACTGGATCCCATTCTCACTGTCTGCCTTCCCTTTACTTCAATCACTTTTGGGGCAGCTCGACAACTGAAAATTGTGTTTGTAAGTTGCTGTTTAAGTGTTTAAAATGAAGTCAGGATCATGCCAGGGCCTGCTACTCTCTTTCCTCCCTTGCGCCTGCCTCATTTGCATATCCGTTGGGGCATGCGGAACATGTCCCGACTCTTCCGAATCTCCACATTTCACTTTAAACGCTTCATGGTCTCGGGCTGGCTTTGCTTTATGGCCCGGCGCCATAAAGCCTGCCTCTGTTCCTGCTCTTGTCTCTCCGCTCCTGCATATGCAGACATCTTTACGACACACGTGTCCCACTTTACGAGCTGTAAATTGTAGGGAAGTAGCACCTGAACTGCCAGAAGTATCATTATGGGGAAATTGTGAGAGTCCGCACAGGACCCTCATGCATATTCAAGGACTACAGACTCAGGCCTACACCCACCTGTATGTGATGGGAGGGTTCTATTTGTGTCCTCTGATATTTTTGGGCTCTCGTACTACAAACTTCAAACAGACTGCCATAATAGCCGCAAGGGATTTTAATGGAGAGAACGTAAGTCCCTTTTGGGCGATTATTCACATCTAGCATACCTATAATCAAGAATTCTTGATAATTTCATCATAATTCCTGACAAATTTTTCATATTTTTCATATTTTCCAACACCTGAATACAGTTCCAATAATTTCTTCATGAAGTACCATTGAACACAGGGAGTCTGTTATCATGCATCCATACAGCACACTGTTATAACTTTGAAGTATATTCTCATAAAGTAGTTCCACTCTCGGTAAATTAAATCATCCCCCCGGGTGGAAGGACACACCACACCTCCACCTGAGCCTGTACCACTTTTCAAACATCTTCTCCCACTGCCTCTTCATTAAAATTGTTTGTGCTCTTTCTTTCATGCACACATTAATGAATTTTCAGGGTCTGCCCCTCTGCCCAGCATTTGTGGTCCTGACCATGTTTCATGCTTTGACATGGAAAATCAATAAACATTTTCAAAAAAAATAATATATAAGTATTATGTATAGGTAATTGATTTTATCTCATCGCTGGCGCCTTGTTTTTCTTTTGTTGTTCGGAAAATTCAATTTGAGGCTGAGGGTGCGTATTCGTGTGTGTGTGTGTGTTAGCCAAGTGCATGTGTGTGTGTGTGTGTTTGTGTGGGATCCATTGTTCAATGCTGCTTAAAACTTTCACCCACTGACAGACACGACTTTGAATGGATTGAGCCTTCGGTTGAGCAGGCCTTCGGCTAATTACTGAAACTATCCTAGGAGAAGATGGGGCTGCGGATAGGTGGATGATCCATCCTGATACACAATGCTCTGATTTACTTTTGATGACCTCCACCTTTAGATTGCAGATGGTTGCTTTACCAAATACTTTCTGCAGCTTAGAAAAGCTACATTCCCATTCGTTTGACCTTCACCTACATTCATGCTTTACGGTCCAGGACTACTCTTTATTACATTCCATTTACTTGCTTCTTTTTTTGCCTTTGCAACTTTTAAAGTTGTTTTCATTTAAAGCACACTGAAAGAGTGCTGAGGAATAGCACTTATTTTCCCCTATTCTCATCCCACATCTCATACAATCGTCTCCATACATGTGGGCTGTAAATGCCAGAGGACTGTAAGGCATCTCCCATGTGTGGGGCTTAAACATCTTTTAATTTGAAGCCCGCTTCGGCAACTTTGTTCTCGAACATATTGGCCCACAGGCTGTCAAATTTACAAGTCCCCATGATCCCCATTCCTCATGACACTCCCACTCGCATTGCCACACTCTCTTTCCCAAGTGAAAACTTCATTAAATATGCAAAATGTTGAAACACTGGCCCTTTCCTTACTTCAGTCCGTGTTTTGGGTCCCTGTTACAAGACTTTGCCGCTTGTTTCGTTTTGCTTACCTTTAGGTTCTGGAACTTGGCCTCGGCCTCCTTGTCGCCGCTGTTCTTGTCGGGATGGTACTGGAGTGCCAGTACCTTGTATTCCGCCTGGATCTGCTCGGGCTGCAACGGGAACAAATAGCACGGGGATTGGAGAACGTTAAGTGAATTGCGATAACAAATTCTCTTTGCTGCAAATGAACTAAGCATTTTGTGGCATTCATTTTTAAAGTGTTTGTGCTTCTTTCTCCGCCAAAACATATTATAAAATGGGAAAATAAACCCCCAGAGAAGCAGACAGAGACAAACATTCATGTGTGTGTGTGTGTGTGTTTGGTGTGTTTTATGTAGATTTCCGAAGAATGAGCTGGGTCCTCCAAGGATATCGCAAGTCATGAGGCAGGACTGTTGAACCGAACAACGAAATAACAATGGGAAGACCATTAAAACTTGGCTGGTAAGCAAAATGGGTTGAAAAATGGTTTGGTAAACATTCGTGCGATGGTGAAAACCACTTAAAGTAATAGAAAAACTGGCAAGGGAAGGCCCACGAAGAAGGAGTTTGCAAAACTTTAAATCCAACTATTCCCCTTTTTAATAAACTGACACTAACGATAGGGTTGTTGGCAGGCGACAATTGAAATTAATTAAGCCAAAAGTGTCTTGAAACGAAGCAACAAGTTGGCCGTCGGCTAAAAGACATCAAAATGAATCTGCTTCTGGCACTTGGTCGTGAACCAGGGCCCAGGGACCGAAGGGAGGGTTATGTTGGTGGGGAATCAGAATCATCCACTAACCCCAGCACAAAGCCGCCTGTTGATTGTCTTGTAAATGGAAATGGCTTTTCGCGCACCATCAAGCTGGGCACGCAAAGGACACACAAAGGATGCAGATAGACAGACAAAGATAGAGAGAGAGAGAGAGAGAGAGATGAGAGAGAGAGGGCATTCCTCTGATTCCATTTTTGAACCTTTTGTCTGCCTCTCAAACAAAGCAGAGAGCAAAAATCAAAAGGCAGAGCAAGAGAGCAAATTTATTAAGGTCAATCTACAAGTTCCAGCATTTTCCAAACATTTCATTGCGCAAAAGATAAAAGTATCAAAAGCATTCATATTTTGTAGGTCAAATGGAAGGCTCCCCCATTCCATTTTGCTGAGCCAAACTCACTGCAACGAGGTGTATACTTATTTTCACTGCAATTAACATTACTCATATGTCTCAGTGTACGGGCACAAGGGGCACGAGGCACGTCCAATTGGCATCATGGAATGTTGGAATATGCGGCATCCACAGGGATAAGAATCTTCGCCTCTGCTTGAATTCCTTTGAGGAATCACAGAATGACTCCTCTTTGGAGCCCGCATTGGCATTAACCAATTGCATAAGGCCATTGAATGGCTTCAATTAAATAAATCGCCAGCCAATCTGTATCTGTATCTGTATCTGCATTTGCATAGCAATCGAATCCCCGGATAGTAATTTCCATTTGATTATTTCGGCTGCACCACTTCAGTTGAATGAGAACAGGATTCCACATGGCCGCCAGAACAAATCCCACTGCAAATTAGCCCCGAAAACATTTCAAGTTTGTTCAGTGGATTGTCATAGATTGCTGAAACTGCTCGGACAGTCTGTCTGTCTGGCTTGGGTATGCAAATTCCATTCTCGAGAACAATTGCCAACTAATCTGCATGACAATGGACCCTCCGCTCCGCTGATGCATTCTTCCCAGTCATTCGACGGTCAAGGGTGAAGGGAATGTGTGGTGTAAGAGTCTTGGACAAACAAGCGTCAGCGGGTCATCGGAGACTACGATGAGTACGTGATGGAGGCCAGGCCATAATGCTTAACCCAAGCCTCTTCCATTTTCCCCCTCCCCTCAACAAGAGATAGGGAGAATATTTGATGAAATCGATTCGGATCCAGGCTTAGGCTCCTGCACACAGTCTGGCCACAGCATAGCGTGAGGCATGCTATGCTTCCACTGATGCATAATTCAATAGATTTTCCTGATGCAATCGACAGGTCTGAAAATTGCCAAAGCTAAAGGCATTTTCCGGGCCAATAAATTTGATTACAGGCAGCATCGAAGCACCTCACCGAGCATTAAAATTTACTGAGCCCGAAAATGCGATACCTCAAGATAAATGTCATGTGCCAAAATGCCATTAAGCTGCTGGGGACTGCCAGTGCCTGTCAGCAGAGTAGCAGAGGGAAGCTCGTCAATTCCACTCTGAGAGGAGTTCACTCTGAGGGATGTTCTTGAGGGGCTCTCAAACTCTCATATGGTTTTCACTTGGATCTAGGGGATCTAGGGCAGATCAGTGCCAATTCCCCCAATCAACGACGACTGTTTGTGTAATTGAAACTAATTCCTAAAGCAAAATCTCTCACCTCAACATCAGAGATGGAAACAGAGCCCGAACCAAAGCCAAAGCCATAGCCAGAGCTCGGATAATTCCACGCTCATGCGGGGCGGTGCAGATTGCGTGCAATAATATAATATCACGATTTCAAGGCAGCCCACAAACAGAACTCAGCTCATCTCCAATTTGCAAACTTTTGTCGGGCCCTAATTAAATGCTCTGTGGAGTGGAGTAGGGTACTTACCGATGAGGTCTCATCGCAGTGGAGCAGGACGTAAAAGTCCTCGTTGGGACTACGCTTGTAGTTGATTATGGCATCGACGGCGCTCATTGCGTCAGGATCTTACTTTCCTGGGATCGGCTGGGATTCTCGCTCGCACTCTCTCTCGCTGTCTCTCTCTCTCTCTCTCTATTTCTGTGGGGTAGCGGAATCCGTTTATTGGGTTAATAAATCGTCAGACAATAAAACGGCAGACACATGGGAGAGTTGACTTTTCGAATTGTTCCTGGTTTCAGTTGTGTTTTTTGTTTACGGACAAATGTTTAACGCTCTCAGGATCAAAACAATAACATCCAGGTACAAATAAATGGTGACAATTAACGTAAAAAAAAGGAAACTATCCAGGAGCACTTCGCGCATTGGGCAATCCTTGAATGTTCCTTAGGCAATCAATTGTTAGATCGATCACACACTCTGGCTCGTGTTATATTAAACAATAATTATCGATGGGGGGGAATAGGAGGGGGGCCGGGCCGCGAATGACCTTCCAAATCGAACAATTAACAACTAAAAATAAGCTACACAATCGGTGAAAAGATCTGGTTTGGGTTCGTTTTGTTTTGTTTTGGTTTTTGTTTCGATTTAAGTTTCGGATTGAGACACAATTCACTTTCACTGCGTTTTTCCGCTCTATTTTTCTCTGGGTGTTTCACAGTTCTCTAGCACTTTTTTAACACCACACTCTGACCACCAATAACTATTGTTTGATTGTTGATTGTTTCTCCGCACTCAGAATTGCATCAACTGAACCAAAGACTGGTATGCTGGAAGTTTCTCTCGCTGGCGCCCACACAGCACACTCCCCTCTCTTTGCCAAATCTCAACTCTCTCTCCAGCTCAAACTCTCACACCACACACTGTGTGTATGCTTTGGAGCTATGTATTTACTTTGGGGCCAAGCGAGCGCTCACGATGTTTCTGGTAACGCGACAAAATTCGTTTTGTTTGTGGCTCCGTGGCGACGTACAATTCACTTTTCAAAAGCCCCAACAGCTTTCAGTTCACCGAATTCCAACGATTCCATCAACCGAACACTGTTAAAGTGCTGAAGCCGAGAAACCGAGACGAGCTGATAGAAAACGCATGACGAGAAGAGAGAGAAAGCTTGCAGCTGCGGACTAACAAATTGCGTCGCAGCCTCCCACTGCCCGAGAGCCAGAGAGCCAGAAAGAGAGAGAGAGAGAGAGCCCGAAGAGAGTGTGAATTACCTGGAAGGGGCTGCTTGGAACAACAGGTTAATCGGGGAACTACAATATTATATTGGGGCTTCTCCAGCTGGGGCTGGGGACTGTGATTCAGAGAAAACTGGTAAAACTATAGAGCAAATAGCTACATCACACACCTGTCGCCTGTAGCACAGAGATTTTTAAAAATGAATCACAATAAAAAAGCTTAGAAAGCTCAGCTTAACAGAGTTAACAAAAAGCTTGTTGCAGCTAACAGCTCAATGCATTTTGTATATTTCACGAATATTTTCATAACCAAGATTCAGTTGTAAGTTGCTTGATTTTAGTTTACCGTTTAGGAAATATTGTGATACTTTTGTGAGTTTTTTTTTCACGAAATCTGGTTTAGTTATTTAAAATGTTTCAAGAAAAAAGTTGCTTTGGTTCTTTTGGGAATAAGTTTTGGCACTAATCCAGAGAGCACTAATCAATTACAAATATGGAAACAACTTTTTATCTGTGAAATTGAATTGCATGCAATAACAACAACCTTCGCATGGCTTAGTTTCAACAAAATTTGGCATTCTTTTTATTCACATCTGCATAAATAAAGCTTTTCCTTCGTCACTTATAAATGGTAGAAATAAATACATGGATTTTGTGTTGCTGTTGTTCTTCGGGGGAGGCGAGGCGAGTCCAGTGCTCGTCTGGGATAGGAATACATATTTTTGGAACCATTTCGGCTCGCTTCAGTCCTCATTGACGGTGAAGGAGTGCGAGAGGCCCTCGTAGGGATACTTTCCGCCGAGGATGTACTTGTACTCGCCCGAATGCCGGATGCGATAGACCCCTGGAAGCGTTTGCGGGCTGATGTTCCAGTATATTTCCAACTCGCTGAATCCCAAAATCGTATTGGTGCGGTGCCAGATCATCCTGAAAATCGGTTGCAGATGGATGTAGACAGGCTTAACCCTCTCCAGAGTGTGGCAATACTCACTTGGTCTCCCAGCTGGCGTCCGTGTAGGCCACCTTCCAGCGGTCCTCGTTGATCTTGCGCTCGACGGTGAAGTAGGTTTTTTCGGTGAAGAGGTTGTTCCGTGGATTTCCGGAGATGTAGGTGACCTTGACGGTGTCGTTGATGCCGTACTCCTTGTTGGGCTGCGTCTTCACGTAGCCAAAGTCTGTGTTGATGGGATGTCCGTCGAAGAGTACGCCCGTGTTGAGGGACAGCATCACGTCGTTCATGTAGGGCGGACTGGGGCCAGGCTCCACCGTCTCGTTTCGCATCAGGGCCTTGGTCAGGCGCTCGAACACGTCCATGTAGATGGAGTGGGTGTGTGGGCCAAAGATCGTGGAGGCGGCCTCGTATCTCTGCGCCTGGTACTCCTCGGGGGTCACCGTGTAGCTGGTGTAGATGTTGGTCAAACCAGCGATGATCACTTCCGTGTCTAGGCCTCCGGCGGCGGAGGCTGCGGCCCGGATCTGGTTGCGCAGGCGCCGTCCAGCCATTGTCGTGAACTCGCATGGAACGGCGGCTATGATCACGTCTCCGATCTTCAGAAGCTGGTCGGACACGATCTTCGGCTGCCACTCGTACGGGAAGGTGGCCTAGAATGGGGGGGGGATTCATTAGCAGAATTCACAGCACAGATTCCAGATCCCTTCCAGTGGATACTCACCCTTCCGGTGGCCAGGAGAATGGGCTTCGGCTCGTGGCACTTGATGTCCTCCTGGGTAGGAGTGGCGATAAAGTCGCGCACAAAGTTCCACATGGGGTTGTCCGTGGTGGTGCCCTGCGCGAAGCTGAAGGCGCCGGGGCCGTCGGTGGTGCCGGCAGCGAAGCTGTAGCCCATAGCCGGCTGGCAGCCGCGGATCTTATCGATCTTCCGGCTGAGTGGGTTGTAGGCGGTGCCGTTGTAGTTGGGCATGTCTACGAATTGGTGGATGAAGCGCACGTCGCCGGTGACCTCGCGGGCCGTCGACTCTTGGCTCTGCTCATTCAGCAGACCAAGAGCGGCGTCCGCCAGCCGCTGGCCCAGGATTTGGGTGCTCTCCACCATGTCCTTGCCGGGGCCGGAGGCGAAGCAGTCTCCCTCGCCGGCGGGGCACCGGGAAGTGAGTAGATCGCACTCATTGCCCGAGATGGAGCACTTGGGTCCCATGATGTTGGGCGACACATCTCCCAGGTTGGAGGAGCAGAAGGCTCCCACGAACTTGCCCTTGCCCGGCATCTTGTTCGGGTTGTACTCCTTCTCCAGGAGCAGGGCGGCGTATCCGACGTTGTCGCTGGTCACCAGCCTGTTGGTGTTGTTCATGGAGGTGGCATGCACCGCGTACCAGTTGAAGGCGCCCAGCAAATTGTTCTCCACATCCACGAAACGCAGCTGCGTCAGGGTCTTGTCCGTGTCGTGCTCATACTGGGCCCGCTCCTCCTCCGGATTGCGCAGATACGACGACGGGGAGCGGTTGATGTTTACATTCAGGACGGTAGTTTTCGAGAGAAAGACGCGTCCATCCACCAGGTTGTCCGTGGCTCGTTTGATGCACTTTACGATACAAAACGATACACCAAATGTGTGAGTATTTATTGTATTTGTTCGGATTTGATTCTTTCTACTTACCAAATAGAGACCCTGGGCCATCACCTCAAAGGTCTGTGGAACAAAGCCCAGAATGGATATGTCGTAGAGCAGATGCATCAGGAATCCTCCGGGCGCTCCATGCGTGTGGGTGCCGCTGATCGCCACGTTGTCCGTGTGGTAGAGGTTCCCGTAGCGAGCCTGAAGCCTCTTGATCACCTCCCTCTTCAGGCCGTAGCCCATCATGCCCGCATCAGCACTGACGAAGGCCACCCGGTTTCCCTTCTCGTCCTCCACCACGAAGGCTCGGGCAAAGACGCGAGTGTGGATGCCGCGCCCCACTTGCTTGATGTTCGCATAACCCATCTGTAGAAGGAGGAAGGGAGTAATCGAGTGGAGCTCAGTGTTTCAGGCACTTACAAAGTTGATCTCCACTGGGGGTCCGGTGATGTCGGCACGTCCCACGCCAACTTTGTAGGTGGCATTGGCCAGGCCACACAGCCCGCTGAGGGCTATAAAAGCCAAGAAGGCAATCTTGGATATGTCCATGGTAGGATGAACAGCGAGAAACTTTGGTCTGCAAAGGAACACAGAAATTGGATTAATGCAAAGAAAGCCCTCAGTTAGCTCCGTTCTGTGACACATAGAAGCCAATGAACCCCAAAATGAATCTGGCAGTCTGACAGCCTGGCATTTGGCAACTACCCCTCGAGTAGATTGCAAATATTTGCAACAAAGTGATTATGAGGCAACCGATAATCGAACGACAGCAGCGACGGGAGAGCTCGGGCACTCGACACCCATCCAAACCAACGACCATCATCCATCAATGGGATATAGCGGCCAAATGCAAATTTCAATGGGGTATTCGTAATCGCTTGGACTCTCGCACGACCTCTCCAGCAGACGCATCAATGGAAATGTGCGTGGCGTTCCCCCCTCCCCTTTAACAATAACAAATAACAAACAACAACACACACAATAATAACAAAAGCAAAGACGCAGCTCGGAGCCCCTTATCAGCTGGATCGGGAACCGGTTTTTATCAGCTTGCGAAAGTCGCGCACTGCGGCTTCTTCAGTGGCCAACTCCCAACTGCGACTCTGCTGGGGGACAGTGTAAACACTCATCGCAATATCTGGGGAGAGTCAGTACTTTTGACATTAAAAGTAGTTGGGGTTTGCCGTCCCTTGCTATGCTCTTGCAGAGGGTATTGTGATCGAACTCCAAGACCAGTCGCAGACCTTATGTGTCCGCTTCTTCTGTCCGATCAAATTATGCTAAATAGAGTATTCACAGCTCCGGTGACCGTGTGAATCCTTTCTTTCATGTTTTCCGCTGACTCTTGTTTAACTTTTCGCTGATGAATCGACTTCTTTTGTATGCAGCGGGTGTGCCATTGCTCGTACCAAGTAGAACCCTCCTCTCTCAGAGAAGGCGTTAAGTGGGAAATCGAGTGAGTAATTGTCGCGCATGTAAAGCAGTACTGTCCCCCAGCTCCACTCTGGGACGGACACTCTGCATAATGGACGCACACCACAGGCACAGGCCTGACATTGAAATCGAAATTATAATAAAATAAATATGCTGGCACTGGCACCGTGAGCCGACAGCAGACAACAACAGAAACCACTGCGATATCAGCTGCAGGGCCTTCGCACAAGATACAGATACAATTGGGATCGTAAACACGTATCTTTCTGTGGCGGTCGGTTGGTCCGTCTGTCGGTCGGTCGGTCGGTCGGTCGGTCGGTCGGTCGGTCGGTCGGTCTACGGCTGGTCTTGGCTTCGATTCGGACTCGGATTCGAATTCGGATTCGGATGCGTATGCTTCAGATACTTTTGCAATACTTTTGTAATGAAATGGCAGCAGCCGGCACTCACTTACACAGAGAAAGAGAGAGAGAGAGAGAGAGAGAGAGAAAAGCAGCGACTGCTGCTGATGCTGAGCCAGATACAAAAGTATCTCTTGGATACACGACGCCAAACGCTGATCAACGGCGGACAAACGCGCCAATTGAGCAAATTACAGAAGATTTCGGTTGATGAGCCTTTTATACACTTCGCACTTAATACCATTCGCATATAGACATATGAATGTGCATATAGGTATGTCTGTCTCTCTACATGTATCTGTATGTTGGAGGTTGCCTGCACTCAATTCGGACTCGTTTTCGTGGATTTTATTATGCAATCGCCTCCTTTGGGCCACTCACTG